CTCCTTGGAGGCAAGGATTCTGAGGCTCCGTCTAACATACTTTGGACATGTTGTGAGGAAAGACCGGTCCTTAGAGAGGGACATCATGCTTGGGAGGGTGGAGGGACAGCGCAGGAGAGGAAGGCCCTCTATGAGGTGGATTGATTCAGTGACTGGGATAATTGGGATGGGAGTGTCAGAGACAGTGCAGTTGGCACAGGACAGAGCGGAGTTTAGGGCTGTTGTACATAGTGTCGCTATGAGTCGCAGGTGACTCGACGGCACATAACAACAACAACAACAACCACTTTTATCCTCCCTAGGTAGAGAAATATTTGAAATTAAAATGCCACAAAGTAGGTGGTTTTTTCATAGAGGAGTGACTAGTTAATTTACTTAGGATAGCAGGTTGCTCAAAGAAGGAAAGCAATAATGCAACATGCTTTCAGAGAGATGACCCTCTTTTGAGAGTTAACCTTTGTGCTCACAAATAGTTATCTGGAAAATTTCTAAAGTATGAATGGAAATAACAGCAGATTGCATTACCTACATCCAGAAGGTCAGAGGTTCAGATTACCAATGTAATGAAACTTCACTGAGCTGCTTCAGATCTATTAGGTTTGTCAGTTTTTATAAGCGAGCTTACTTCAGGCATGCAATTATAACATAGAGGACCTATATCAGTGAAAATTCAGCAGTTAGATCTTAGAAGAGACATTCAAATGTTGTGGCAAGGGTGGCATACACCTTCATAAGAAAGTTTTAAAATGAATCGGTTAATAAGAGTAGAACAGACAGGAAGAACATGATGGGGGAAAATATATTACACACAAAAGCCTACTTTCACAGAAATTTTCTTTTTTTACTGATTGGGGGTGGTGGTGGTGGATACTTTTCTCAGAGAGTATTAATAAGTATCAATTAACTTAATTCTTCCATTAAAATGTCCTAAAATATCCCAATACTGATGACACAACTCTTTAAAAGCCTGCAACATTGTCATAATTCTAGGAGAGAAATTTTTTCTGCTCTTTCTTTTCTCCTTTTATATTTTTTTAACATTTTTAATTTTGCTTTGAGTGAAAGCTAAAAAGCCATTTTTCTTCTAATCAGTAATTAATGCACATTTTGTTCCATAACATCACCTGCAGAAACACTCTTTGATAGACTGTTCTCTAGAATGTAAACATTTCTCTAGACACTTATAACAATGATGTTGTCTAATATTTATCCATTTGAAACTTATCTGACTAAACAGAATGCCCTCTTGACTCATCCATGTGTAGTATTTCATGAGTTGTTGTTTTTTTTTTTTTTTTGCTTTTCAATGTTGTAGAGTACTCCGTTGTGTGAAAATACTAGAGTTTCTCAACCTGTTCATTCAATGATACGTACTTAGGTTGTTTCAGTCTCTTTGCTATTGTACATCATACTACAATGACATGAGAGTGCATCTCTTGTTCATGTTGTAGCTTTTATTTCTTTATGGTATATTTCTAGTAGTGGAATTACTAGATCAAATGATACTTCTGTTTTCTCTTTATAAGGAAACACCAAACTTCTTTTCATAGTGATTGCAGCATTTAAATTCCCCCCTGCAATGTACAAGAATTCAAACCTCATGTGTCCTTGCCAGCATTTATTGTTTGCTGGCCCATTGAACTTTGCTATTGTTGCTAGGGCAAGATGGTAATTTCTTATCTTTATTTACAGATCACCGTCTTTTAGTGTTATCAAGCATTGCCCTGTGTTTGTTGCTCATCTCATAGTCATCATGAGTTAAGAGTCTTTTCATATTTTCTGTTAATTTTATATTTGGGTTGCTTGATTTTTCTTGCTGAGGAGAGACCGTCTTTTTAAAATGTGTTAAGAATAATTTAGGTCAATACAACCAATACTGATCATTATTTGTAAAAGTGTCACTCTTCGCTGGATCTGGAGTTGATAGTGGTTCTGCAGAAGAATTCTCTTTTTCTGCTATGTCACCAGAGTTCTATTCTTGGTCAATTACAAATCATGTTCCTTTATGTTTCTGTCCATGGAGTCTTGTTTGTTTCTATATTACTAACAGGTTTTAGCAGAGCTTTAGGACTAAGGTGGACTAAGAAAGACTTGGTGCTTTGCTTCTTAAAACCACACACTGAAAACTTTATAAATAACAACATATGCTGTGTGAGTTGGAGGTGAGGGAGGCAGAGTGTCTCCATGATTTGAATGTGGATTCAATGGCAGCTAGAACAAAAATCCTTGTTTTTAATTCTCAGTCACATGACCTGGATTAAGCTTATTCAGATGTCCTAAAAGATATAGGATACAGTTGTCTATGAGACAGCGAATTCTGGCCAAATCCAAAGCCAAACATCTTTGATTGTTTAAATCCACCAGTGGCTCCTTGAGAGAAAGATGGACAATCTTCTCCCAGGTAATTTACAGCCTCAGAAAACCAACAGAGGGACAACTATGAGTCAGTTCCAACCAAATGGTAATGAGAAAGAGACTCTCTCTTGAGATTGCAGCTAATCTTAAGGCTAGATTAAAATGAAGTGGTCGTTGTCTCCTAAACAGTAGCAGTGTATCTGTGATTTAATAGTACATGATTATGCTACTAAGCAAAATTTTCTTTCATATCATATTTTTGTTAGACCTTTCCATGTCAGATATTTAGCCATAACTGGTAACAGTCTAACAAATTTTGAATTAGCTGTTCATTTGCTAGATATTGAGCTACATATGTAAAGACGATTCCAATACATATTTTCATAATTAGAGGTTTTTTCCATATTGTCATAATGATTCCCCAAAATTAATAGATCAGTTATTATCTATTACTCTGTTGCTCAAACAGTCCTGAAATTTCTACTATTATGGCTTCTAAAGTGGTAGAACAAGTTAAATCCATTGGTGAGGTTTTTAAACATCTTGAAAGGTGTGACCTGAATGAAGCCAGTACCATTGTTGGAATGAACTCAGTGATTGGCTCCTAGACTTTGTCTCCTGGGTCAATTCTACCTAAAAGTAGTGTTGAAGAAGATTCACTAAAAAGTCTATCACTCTCCTACAACTTGTTCTTAAGTGATGAGTCACTAGATATCAGATATGAACTGACATAGCTGTAGGAAGGTGTAGAAAATGATATTGTATTAAATCAGTACATGGACATTGCCATAACACTGGCCAGTTGACAGCAACAGCATTCTTAGTCTCAAGGGAACGCAAATGAGATAGCAGGTCAAGAAAAGGTATAGAAAGAAGTATGGTATTCCCAAGTAAGATGCTCAACATTTTAAAACACATGTGTACTAGTGTCCATTTTTTGTTTTAGTGTCCTTATAAAGATAAATTCTAATCCCAAGTTTCAGTACCTATAAATATGAATTTACATGGAAATAATTCATTTGCAAGTATAATTAGCAAAGTTAATGTGAGGATATCCTGGTATCATTGTAAACAGAGAAAAATAGACACAGTAAATAAACAAAGAGCACAAAATTTGATGATAAAGGCAAAGATTGTAGTGATATACATACAAATCTAGGAATACCAAAGGCTGCTGGGGGTTCCCTAGAAGAAAATCATAGAGCAGATTCTTCTTCAAAGTTCTCAGAAGGAACCAACTCCGCTGACAGTTTGACTTAGAATATTTTAACCTGTAGTCAGGACCTTGCCAAACTATTGAGAAGTAATGATGTCAGTTTTTGGATTAAAGTATGCCTTAGTAATCACTTTGCAATCACTTGATATGCATCTAAGAAACGCATGCATAAAGATTATAGACAAATTGATGCCTTTGAGCTGTAGTATTGGAGAAGAGTACTGAATACCTCATATAACTGCCAAAAAAAGCCCAGATATGTCACCTTGGAGGCATACAGAGTACTTTTTGGAGGCAAAGTTGATAAAGCTTTGTCTCACACACTTTGGGTTTATTGCTAGGAGAGGTTAATCTCTGGAGAGGAAGATCGTGCTTGGAAAGGTGGAGGGTTGACGAAAGAGAAGAATCATCCAGATGATTGACCCAGTGACTGCAACAACATGATTGAATATGTCAGAAATTGTGAGGATGGCACAGGATTGGTCAGGATTGGTTTAGAATTGTTGCTTGTAGTGTTATGATGAGTCGTGTTTGACTAGATGGCATCTAACAATAACAATATAGCAATCATATAGCATGGAAGGTATTACTCATCTTTATCCTGAGGTGAGGGGTGCCTGGTAAGTTCAAACTTCCAGAAAAGCATGGCCTTTGGGTTAGGAGTGCAATTTTTTATGGACTATGCCACCAGAGCACCCAATGGAGGGTCAGCTAAAGGTTGGTTCCAATAGGATGACATTGTGGGTTTTTTCAGTTTGAATCATCTGGCACTGGGAAACTCTTCTGTAGAGAACCTCTTTAAACTGCTAAAGAGCAATGGTGTCCATTTGAAGTCTAGGGTGATTCACATCCTGGTATTTTCAATTGCTTCAGATGAGCGAAAATTGAGCAATAAAAAAAGGAAGACCAGAGAATTAATGTCTTTGAATTGTGGTGTTGATGAAGAGTATTGAATATACTTTGGACTAGCCAAAGAACAAACAAATGTGTCTTGGAATCAGTACAGCCAAAGCACTCCTTAGATGCAAAGATAGTATGATTTCATCTCACATGTTTTCAGCCCATTATCAGAAGCCCTTAGAAAAGGATACCACACTCGGAAAGGTGGAAGATCAGGCAAAGAGAGGAAAATTATCAACAAGATGTACTGAGAGTGACTGCAACATTAAACTTTAAACACAAAAGAGATTGCAGGGGTGGAACATGATCACACAAGGTTTTGATATGTTGTACACAGTCACTGTGCATTGGAATCCACTTGACATCACCCAACAATAACAACAAATCTCCAGAGAAGGAAGAGAGATACACTCTTCCTTTTGTTTTAAGCACTCAGCTATGTTAATTTGTTCTAGTGGTGCTAAGAAACTAATATAAGTACTGATATTAAGTTCAGGGGAAACAAAGGCAGCAGGCACCGCTTACTTACTTGGTTTAGTCCATTCCACATGGATAGCTGTGTGGTTAAGCACCTGTGTGGTGAGGTTGGCCCCTCTCTCTGGAAGACCAGCTAATGTTGTCACATTTGCTTCCTGGCTCGGTGTAAACCCCACACTGTTGTGCACAAAGAGCTTATACTCATATGTTGTAAACCTAAAAGACAGTTTTTTAAAAAATCATATGTAAGGCCAAAATAATATAAATTATTTACTCTTTCTTCACAAATACAGGCTTGCTTTTTTATCTCAGAAAACATACAGTTTCTTCCCCTATACATTGTTTTCTTTCTCTTGCTCCAGAAGACATACAATTTTATTTTAATGTCTCCAGCTTTAATCAAAGTGTCAGGAAAATATTTTATTTGGAATAGGAAGGAAGTACGAAGGAAGTACCATTATTTAAAACTAATATGGTTTATATAGTTTTCTCATTCTTATTGTGTTCAGAAGTGGTAAGGATTACAGCTCAATTCCAGATGCAATTACAAATCTGGCAGCCTTCCATCTGCATTTGATCCAGAGAGTTTTATGCTCTTGGGAAACTCATCCACTTTCAAATATCAGAATCCTGCATCATCATCTTCTCCAATAACACTTGGAGAAGTGTTCTTTCCATAATCTCATTGGCTGACAGATAAGCTCTAAATTAAATTGTAACTGTAACCAAAGTGAACAGCACACTCCTACTGAGTTTAAGAGTGAGCTCTGTTTTGCCATAGTATGAACATATTTATCTGAGCCAATACAGTGTAAACACTAAGTATTGCAGAGGGAGAAATCTGTGCTTGATAGGATGGGAATGGGAACTTTCTAAGTCACATATTAAGTGGGTGATAGGGTATAGGGCTTAAGCTGACCAGGCAACAGGAGTTGCCTGGGTTAAGAAAAAACAAACTCCTTTGCCTTAGGACATGCAAGATCTTGATTCTCTCATTGATGCTGTCTTCTGATAAAGATGTGATTATGGGAACAAGGAAGGCCAGCAAGTAAGAAACGAAACAGTTAAAAAAACATCTTGAATCCCGGTTAACATTGATTACTGCTTATGCAATGAAAACCTTGCCAATAAATGCTCTAAGAATGTACAGGTTAGAAGGACACTCAATTTTGAGTTCCTCTCCCCTTACCTCTTGACTAAGAAAAGTCTTGAGTAGTGCCCTGCACTTTCTTGCTGGTCAGAGAAGTGCAACATATAGTACTCTGTTGTGATAGTGGAGGAACAGCAATCAGAACCACAGGGAAAGAAAAATGAAAGAGTCTGGACTTCATATTAGTAAGAGACAGCCCCAGTGTGCACTGCCACGTATAGGTAATTATTTACAAGGAGATTTTTAAAGATAGTGTAAGAACTGCCTAAAGACCACATGATATATATTAAGACCCTTCAACAGGTATTAAAAGCTTATCATATTCCTTCATGTTACCACCTCATCTTTGACTCCTAGATAGCGTTTTTTCCTCCCCTGGAATTCCAGCCTGCGATCCCTAGGTTGTTTCTCCCCCTGACCCTACCTCATGAAATTCTTTTGCAGTTAGTGTTTCTCTAATTGGTGATTTATCCTTTTACTTTCTTTTTCTACTGCTGTAATTAAATTAGTTTACTCTATCATCTATTTGTATCTAGGAATTATTAACTTTTTTGATTAGGTCTTGCTAAATTAAGTGGCCACCTATATAAGCTGCTCCTTAAAGCTACATATATATTAGTTTAATGCAGCAGGATCTAAAGAGTTCATTTGCCTTTCTTTAAGTCTTAAGTGAAGAGTGTTGTTTGAGATATTCCTGAATGGGTGGATCTACCTTATTTACAGTAACTCTAGGTTCAACATCAACACTGGGGACTACTACTGCCACGAAGTGTCCAAGGATGGAGTCTGATCAGCATTAACAAGAAAGGTTATACCATTAAAGGGCAAAGTGTCCAGACCATTCTAAAGCAGGGAGTGCTGCTGATCTCCTTCAAGGCCAGTCACAGCACCATATTTCTATGCTAGCAATAACAGCAGAGTTAACAGAGTCCCCCTGTGATGAGGTCCGGGGAAATTTATTGACTCTGCCAACAGGAATCAGCATCCCACATCCTGCCAACTGAACTCCAAGTTGCTGTTGACATAAGAGGTAACATAATCAAGTTCTTGCTTAAGACAAAATAGTTTTCCCAGTTCTATCTTTTCTTTTAAGGCCTTTTCCTCCACTGAAAGGGTAAAATTAAAAGTGTAAACAGTAAAAAAAAAAGAATAACTTTGAAACAATAGCTCTCACCTTATGGCTCTTTACAGAATTCGGAATAGCTCTATTTTGCAGCCTCTTGTTCACATACCTGAATGTCCAATACCAAACCCTGCAAGGGCAAGGCTTGCTTGCTACATTAAATGCCAGAATTTTCTCAAGGAAAAAAAAAAAACAACCTAACAAAATTCTCAAAAAACTTTAAGTACAAGTAACTCAAAAAGTATAAGATACATATGTGATCAAAAAATGTAGAAAAAAATAGTTGTAGTAAAAAAGTATAAAAAAGAGATAGCTTTGTAACTCAAAACCAGTTTACCTCACCTAAGAAATGAAGAAAAGAGCATTCTTAAAACTGTTCCACAAACATCTACACAGTTCCACCACTTTCCATAAGATACTTGATAAAGATTTAACTATTTTCTGCTATTTTTATTATACGGATACCATTATATTAATTACTAAAGATATTTCTCTGCTACTAGATTGTTTATATGCTCTAGTCACCATCTTAAAAAAAATGAGCTATAAACCTTCAAAAGTTTCAAGAACCAGGAATATTAGAAAAATTCCTATAGGTTGTGAAGTTAATTAAGTAAAACTTGTGTATTGTCTAAAGTAAAAGCCCAAACATGCTCTGTCTATAAGTGGTGCAGAAAATGTGAATTTTTGTCAGAACTGATTAAGCAGTTATAAATGGCATGACAGTTTGTGAAAGCTGATTAAACAGTTGTAGAAACCATAAAAGAGTATGTGTAAAACTGTCACTAGGTAGGAAGAGAATAAGAATAGTGTACTTTTAGAAATAAAGAAAGTAACTTAGTCTTAAATTTCTGGTTTGTTTGGTTGTTTTACTTCCCCCCCCCCAATATGAATGAGTGATTAAAAAGTAAGAGTGACTAGAAAATAAAAAAATAAAGTGTAAGAGTAAGTGAATAAAGTATAAAAATGAATAAAAAGTAAGGAAATTTTAAGTTATGATTAAGGAAATTTTAAGTAATGATAGATTGTTCTGCATAGTCTTTTAAATAAGAAAATGCAATCAAATCAAGTTTTATCTTAGTTAAAAATACTTTAAGAAAATAAAACATGTCCCTACTGTTAAGATTTTGCCTTCCTAACATGCTTTCCAAGTTTATATCTTTCTTACTAACACTACTTCCAGTAGAAAATGATGCTAACTGAAAGAGAAACAAATAGTCTGTACATAGAATCTCACATAAGCTCCTAGATCTTCCATGGACCCTAGAGTCAATCTCCACCCAAAGACATCTAACTGCTTTTTACCATCTATGACCTCTTTCAACAGGATACAGAGAGAGTGGTCATCATCCCCCTCCCCTGACCAGTTAGAGCTCCCATTCCAAAGGAAGTTGCAAGTTCCAAAGCAGAAAAGAAGCCTTCCACCATTCTGCCTTAGCAGGAAAATCTGAATTATTAGAGTAGATTCTTAAATTTATGACCCCTCTTCTTAGACAGTTGAGTTTAAACACTAACGCGACAAAGAAAGTGCAGAAAGACTATTAGTAAGTAGTAACCCCTTAGATATAAAGCACGTTTTGTCTATCATCTCCTCTTTAAATTGCTTTATTAAATGTACTCACTAGTTGTACTGAAACCTATTGTATAATGCAAGTAATAGATTTTATACCCTAAAACTCTGTTAATAAAATGGGGATTTGAAATATTGGAGTTAAGAGCACCCATTCAGAATACTTGGGTTAAGACAAAATAAACTCCCTACCCTAAGATGTACAAAATCTTGAATCTTCCACTGATAGTGCTTTCTGATTAAGATGTGGTTATGGAAAAAGGGAAGGTCAGAAAATAAGAAAACAAACTAAAATAAAATCTTGAAGCCCAGATAACATATTTTACTACTTAGGTAAGGAAAAACTTGTGAATAAAATCTATAAGGATGTATAGGTTGGGAGGACACTCAACAATGAGTTTCTTACGTCTGGATTAAGGAAAATCTTAAGTAAAGTGCATTTTAATTGTTCAGCAGTTTTCTACTGGTCAGAGAAGTGCAAGAATAGAGGAAAGCTGTGCATTCTTTATCTCTTTTGCCACTTTCTTAGGCAAAATAATACTGACATTTCTTTGTTGGGTTGAAATTACCTAAAAAGGAAAGTGCTATTTATGGACAAATTTTCATGGGACAGCAGTGTAGAGCAAGAAACTTCCAAACACATTATGCCAACACTTGACCGTTCTGAGGGCTTCCAGGACTAAGGACAAACAGTAGTCACAGAATATACTGGCAAGAAGCTGCGCTGCAATCCCAAAGGCACATAGGAGGCCACCAGCTGCTCCTCAGGAGAAGATGGACAATCTCCCGTGGTGCAATTATCTGCCTCTGAAACTTGCTGAAGGGTCAGGTATGAGTCGGTTCCGACTTGACCGTATACAAGAATAACAACAACAACAATAATCTACAATTAGAGAATGCTGCTGTTTAAGTGTTAAGGTTTGTGCTGCCAATGCAAAACATTCAGTTAAAATCCACCAGAAAGATGGGAAATCTCTTCCGTGGCTATTAATAGCCTCTGAAAACTCATTAGAAGATTAGCGATGGGTTGGTTCAAACTTGACAGCACATAAGGACAACAAAAACAACAAAATCAGTTTTCCTTTACATATGGTATCCTGGTGGTCTATTCTATAGGAGTTAAGCGGAAACTCCCAAAGAAGCACCTCTCTGTTAATTTGATCCCGCCGGTAACTCCATGAAAGAAAGATGAGAAATCTTCTCTTGTGTGATTTATAGCCTCCAAAATTCTGTTGAAGGGTCAGCAGCTACGAGTTTGTTCTGATTCAATGGAAATGAGTTTGATTTGTACTTAATAGTTCATCAAGGAAGGTTACCTTTACAAAAAAAGAGGAAAGAAATATGTATGTAGAAAGATGTTAAGTAAAGAGGTT